ACACACACACACACACACACACACAAACACACACACACACACACGTTTTACAGCCTGTGAATATCTGATCTGTCAGTTGAGACAGTCACAATATAAACAACAGAATAATACAGTTAATCTGGTTAGTACATTTACATTCAATCACATTTATTTGTATTGTCTCATATTCAGTTTGTCTCATATCCAGTTTGTCTCATATTCAGTTTGTCTCATGTTCAGTTTGTCTCATATTCACTTTGTCTCATCGATGTCAACAAGCGGCAACGTCCTCTGTCCTTCACTCATCAAGAGTCAAACTAGCAGAGACACTTTCTGAGCAGTAACTGAAGCTCAGAGTCACATGTGAGGATCCGTCTCCAGGACACGAGGACAATAGATGCTGATGAACTGAAGACATCAACACAACAACAGATTCACTACATTAGAAGAAACTTCATGTTTAAAGTATTTGTACATGAGGACATGTCTGATAGAGACGAAGGAGCAGACACATGAACTGAGGAGTCACTGATGGTAGAAGATGAGGAGACACGCTGGTTAGTAAAGTTACAATAGTTAGTCTGATTAGTAAAGTTAGTCTCTCTATTCAATTTAATGCACAAACTTTCACACTTCGGTTCAATCGATGATTAAAATCGAATTTAAAAATAAATATCAACAGAAGAGACTGAATTATATTGAGAAGAAGAAGACAACTCAAAGCTTGCAATCATCATCAGATCAAGCAGGTGAATTAATTTAACAAGCTGAGTCAGTGAGTTAATTCAGGTACCTTTGGTTTTCATGCTTTGCTGTTTACCTCCAAAATGACTTCGATCCCCCGACCTACTGACTGAAGACAACCTGCAACACACACACACACGATTGTACTTCTGTCTTAGTGAGGACACTCATTGACATAACACATTCCAGAGGCCTCTAACCTTAACCATCACAACTAAATGTCTGTACTTATGAGTGAGGACCGGCCTAAATGTCCTCACTCATAAGTACAGGATCACACGATGTGAAATTCTTCGTCCTGTGGGCGGAGCCAGACAGATCGTGTTGGCTGTAAGCTGTTGTTTTTTCTCTTCGTCCATCTCCGTGGTAACAGTCTCACCTTGTGCTCAGGCGCTCATGAGCGTCGTGTCCGTGGACGATCAGCTGGTCCAAAGCCTCCAGAGGGGAGAAGGAGGTCAGATCCTGCTTCTTGTCCTCTCCCTCCACTCCTCCCCCACCTCCCCCCATCTCCTGCTGCCCTGCTGCTCTCTCCAGCGCCTCCTTCAGGTCAAAACAGGATCCACAAGAAGAAAATCATCACTTCAATAATGAGCTAAAATTATTTAATAGCTTTTATTAGATTTGTTGATACAACAGAAAACACCTATCTTCTGCTTGTACGAATGTGCAAAGAAATAAATAGTGTAATCTAAAGACCAAGTAAAAAATGTATTTAAGTATTATAATATTGATAAATATTAATAAAGATAAGTAATCTAGAAAAAAACGACATAAATGTGGATTAAGTTGTATGAAGTTAATGTTAAATTTAGGTAAAAAAATACATAAAGATATTTAGGTAGTATTTTCTATTCACATCAAACTTAGACAGACGGACAAAGAGAGAGAGAGAGAGACAGACAGACAGAGACAGAGACAGAGAGACAGTCTGAATCTAGTGAACATGTGACCAACAGTCTTCTTGAAGTTACCTGAGTCTTCCTCCCGATGAAGAGTGCGGCGGCTCGAGGCAGAGCCAGCTCAAACAGGGGTTCGTATGGGAAGGCGGGACTCTGATCAAAGAAGGCGGGGCCTCCCTCCTCTGACCTGGTTGGCGGGGTGAAACAGAGTGAGATGGAGGAGGGAGGACAGGGGAGGGATGAGCCTGACTCGCCACAGCTGGGGGTGGAGGTGAGGAGGATGTGCAGGGGGGGGGTGGAGTCTGGAGAGAAACGAGACAAAGTCAATTTCACTGAATCATTGTCAGTTCTAAGAGTTTGTACATCACATGACTCGAGATCGCTGCCTTCAGGTGACGCTGCTGCAGACAAAAACCCGGGGCAGCGAGGAATCGACTACCAGCGGTGAACACAAAGCCTCACTAACACTTCCTGTCAGGAACAGTTCCACCTCGTCGTCGCTCCGAAAAAAGAAATCTCTGCTCTGACATTTCACCATCACTGCTCCTCCTCCAGAGGAGTTTCTGTTACTAAGCAACCAACTGCAGAGGAGACAATCTACTTCCTGTTTACATCACATGACCAGTGTATGTGAAAATGTCATGTGACATGTTTTCAGGCGTGTCAGAGTCTGTGTCAGTGAGTTGTTTCTAATAAATTGCTCACTCAGTAATAAATGACATCATAATGTGTTTATGATGTGGTGCTTCACTGTGGACGCAGGTTGACATGATCAGCTGATCACATCCATCATCACCTCACCTCCACTGCTGTTGATGACATCACTCTGACCTCTCTCCTCCTCTGTGACTGGCTGACTGGATGTCCTCTCCAGCTCTGGGATTGGCTTCTGCTTCACCTATGAGGACACAGACACAGATTCCTTCACAATAAAAGCCTTCTGCTGTAAAGGACCAAGCCGTGGTCCCTATCTCACCTGGTGGTGAGTCAGACCTCCATCCTGGTTGTATTCGCTCAGTGATGTCACAGGGGCAGAGGAAGAGGAAGGACATTCCACAGCTGGAGTCAAACAGACAAGTCTTAGTTTCACATTCAGAACGAAATGATCAGAGCTGATCAACGTGACTCTCATCACCTGAGACTGAGGCGGTTCTGCTTGGTGGGTGGGCGGAGTCTGTGGCAGCAGGTTCAGGTGGGGGCGTGGACAAACCACAGTGAGAGGAGGGGCTCCATGTGACATCATCAGCCTGAACACATAGACATTGGGTTCATTGGTTCGGGATCAGAATCAATCAGACACTCAGACTGCGGCAGGGCATGATGGGAAACATGTGGCCCTCATTTGATCATCAGCAATAAGACACAGAAGTCACCGACCTGTGTGCAAGTGTCAAAGGTCAAATGAGGCAGAGTTGGACACGTTGAGTTTCCTGTAAACACACAGACCATAAACTGACCAATCAAAATACATATGTATGTATACATATATGTGTATATATATTGAGCTCACCTGTGCTGCTGACGCCATCTATGGAGGTGAGGTCGAGCGGGGGGAGGGGGGAGGACAGAGGGGGGGGTCTGGGTGAGGGTGAGGAGGGGGGGTCTCTGAGAGAGGAAAAACTGTCGTCTTCACACGAGGACTCCAGAGGATCCAGAGACACTCTGGAACACTCAATCACGATGTCATGGACTTCATAACACTTCCACCTGGGACATGGAGACAGAAACATAAGACATAAAGACTTCAGGCTGATTTAGAAGGATTCTGAATGAGTTGGACTGATGCCCCCACTCCTTTGAGAAAAATGAAAAGAAACTTGATTGAAGTTCATTGCTCATCTTGCTGAGCTCAGACGTTGAGGAAGACAACTGTGGTGTACGTTGAACACTGTCACTAACTTCAGCTGAGTTAGAACCTTGAAGAGGAAGGTGTTCAACCAGCAGAGATGGAACCTGAACCGTGTCTGATATACTCCATAGATAAGTTCCCATTGGACCATGGTGTTCTCACTTGACTGAACACGAACAATTGATTATACAGAGAAGAATGTTATTGAACAGACTTCAGAAAAAAATCATGATCAGCCACGATGATCCAGATAAGTGGTACAGTACAAGTCCTACGTGGAGAGAACATCTTGTTACTGTCCAAGGAAATTCTGAAATTGTTACGTGATTTCTTGGAAAGTTACGAAGTAGGAGCGGTCACTCATGAACAATACACTACACACTAATATCACACTACAGCAGGAAGTGACCAACATTAAACACAAATAACAATGAGAAGACATACTGACCTGGACGGGTCCAGTTCATAGTCCTGAGTCCCTGTGACCAACTCAGGGTGAACCCTTACAT